CAAGGATGGGCCTTGCCAGGATCGGTGCATGTGTACAGTTCTCTTCGCCCGAAGAGGGACGTGCGCGCCCAGCCGCGTACACGAGCACGGCGCCCCAGTCCACGAGACCGGCCGCGCGGTATGAAGGTTCGCGCAGTGCTAGAGGCCTCCTTAGATGGGGTCGGGGCAGCTGGGGTCGGAGGATGGCGCCGCATCGCCGACACATCGGCGATGCATCCGTGATGCATCGGCGATGCATCGGCGATGCACCAGCGATGCCTCGTCGACGTCGGCGTGAAGCAAGCCGGGCTCCGCATCGAGCCGCATCGGCGATGCATCGGCGCTGCGGCGCGATCCCCCGACTCCAACTGCTCCGACCACAATCCAGGAGGCCCAGCAATCCGTACCCTCGAAACCAGCGTGGATTCGAAACCTGCTTCCTTCGCCGGGAGGCCGTGGATTCGAAACCTGCGCCCTGCGTGGATTCGGAACCAGCGTGGACTCGAGACCTGACACCTGGCTCCCGCACCCTCGAACCCAGGAAGCCCAGCAGTCCGTGCTCTGGAAACCTGCGTCCTTCGCTCGCTCCCGAAGGGCGGTGCAGGCCCCCCCCCCGGGTCACGCCAGCCGCGGCCGCGTCGCGGGCGGGGCCTCGGCCGCGGCCTCGGCCTCCAGGGCGCGCTGCCTGGCCGCCTTGCGCTCCTCCCCGGGGGGGCGGGGAGGCTGCCGCTGCGCACGCCACGCCCGGCGCACGCCCACGCCCGCCTCGATCTCGCGATCCCTCGGCGACGCGCACCAGGGGGTCGGTCGGGCAGGTCCCCCCTACAGGAGGAATATTCGAGAACAGTAAGAAAAATTGTCTGGGGGCGATGTTCGAATAGAGGTTTGGCTAGTTTGGGATTGGTTTGTTGAGTATGTGCCATTTTTCCTCATACGCCTAGGGGGGCACCGCGGCAAGGCGAGGGGCTGGCCAGGGGACGCCTGTCAGGCGGGCGGTAAGGAAGGCCCTCGGTCTAATCCCTTAAGCTTCAGTCCTCAATCCTCAGGATTCTTGAAACGGCCTGGGCCCCGAGAGGCCGAATCGCCACCAAGACGGCCCCAGGGGCTCCCATGAGGGCCCCAAGGCGGCCCGACGAGGGCCCCACGACGGCCCAAGAGGCGCCCGAGACGGCCCCAAAAGGACCCCGGGACGGCCCCAAGAGGGGCCCAAGAGGGGGAACACGAACCGCAAATCCAGGCATTCCGCCCCAAGAAGCGCCCAGGAGGCCCCAAGAGGCCCCCAAGAGGCCTCAAGGGGCCCCCACGAGACCCCCCAGAGGCTCCAAAACAGCCCACCAGAGGCCTCAAAACTGCCTCCAGGAAGCCCCCGGGAGGCTTCGACGAGATCCCAACGAGCATCCAAGAGGCCTCAGACCCACAACCCAGGCACGGTGGCGGGATGGGCCGAAGGCCATTAGAGACGGAAGCGAAAACGCAGAGGAGAAGTATGTGAAAATCGCCCTGCGGATGCCTTGTATACCCTTGGCGCCACCGTGCGGTGTGTACCCACAGATGCGCCTATAAAGGCCTCCTCGATGGGGTCCGAGTAGATGGGGTCGGAGGATCGCACCGCATCGCCACTGCATCGCCGATGCATCGCCGATGCATCGGCGATGCATCGGCAACGTCGGAGGCGCATCGGCGACGTCGGCGTGGAGGAAATCGGGCTCCGCATCGAACCGCATCGTGGATGCATCGGCAATACAACGCGATCCTCCGACCCCATCTACTCCGACCCCATCTAGGAGGCCTAGAGCCTAGCCAGGCTCAGGCCGGGAGTAGAAGAAGAAACCCCTTCATAAACATAAACTGTCAGCGCTCCGCGCGGAAGTTCTTGGATCAGCGCTGGACCCCCTGCCTAGCGGCCTAGCCGCGCTCCGACGCCGCCACTGGCACGCAGGGAGCTGGGTCCGGCGCCGATCCGACCACAAGGAAGTCTGAATAAGGAACGAACGGGGCTCGCCTGGCCACTGCGAGCCTCGGCAACGAACAGGTCCCCCGACTCACAGCCGGCCCGTATCATAAGGATGCGCGATAAGGATGCAAGGGCCTTGGAGGACGGCCATGTCGGCACTTTTCGGGCGGGGCGCGGCCAGTGAAAGCGGCCAAGGATGGACCGAGGAGGCAAGGATGCAAGGGTACCCTTGGGAAGGTTGCCCATCCTTACTATGCGGGTTGACTGCAGACCTTAAGGACAGGCCTGGAAACCAGAGCCCCTCCTGAGCCCAAGGCGGTCCTCATACTGCCGTTGAAGAGGAGCACCTGTCGCATCAAATCTCTGGTCTCGGGTGACCGTTCGGGGCGACCCGAGATTCCCGGGATCGCCCCTCGGCGAGGCACAGCTGCGGGGAGGCACCCCGAGGCTGGAAAACCGCCGATCCTCGACGATAGAGCGCAAAGAAAACCGCGACGCGTACCGCGACCCGTACCGCGACGCGGCTGATAGAGCCATGCCCAGAACTCTCTCGCGCGGGAGGCGGAAGCCAGAAGGGAAACGGCTGAGAAGAGTCGGGGCGAATCCGCGGCAGGAGCAGGCAATACTGGCAAGCTGACTGGGCGACATGTGGTGAAGCGGGTGCAAGCACTCACCACTCTCTGACAATGCATACCTAAAATTGGACGGGCATGTCCGGGCGGATTTTAGACAAAGAACAAAACATTGTCCAACCATGCTAGAAAATTGCCAACAATATCCAAGACAGACATCCTCATATTATATGTTGACTATCTTTGGATATTCCTCCTGTGGAACCTGAATAGGCTAATAGGTGAGGCACGGCAGTGCCCCGCAGCATCGGAAGGCCGAGCCGGCCCCAGGGCGAGCCCCAGATGGCGCGAGCGGCCTGTGGGATCGGCCAACCGCGGCCGTGAGCTAAGCCCACGCACAAAATCAAATCGAGAGGCAGGGAACGAGGGAGGAGGGGAGGCGAACACGGAGGGCACAAAGACCACATCCGATTCGACTGAAGGCTGGCAGGAGGAACTCTGCTCCGCGTGTCGAGGGCGACGGCCACGGCGACACGCTACGCCCGTCGGGCGGCTGGCGTGTCGCTCCGCTCCGCGGGGCGGGAAGCTACTTGGGAAAAGCTCGAGACGCTGACGCCTGGGACTGGGGCGTGGAGAGCGTGTCTTTGGACGCCCGGAATGGGTACGAAAAAATGGGCACGATGCCCAACAACACATGCTGTCCCAAACCAACAGCGGCCGCTGTTGGGCACACGGCCCTCTGTCTCGAATGGACACAGGCCGCGGCGGCGTGGACAGCGAATCCTGTTCAAAATGAGCAGGAACTGCTGTTGGGCATCTCGGGTCGGGCGAAAGGGGGGGATAGCAAAGGGGGGGGGTGAGAATCAGCTCACGTAGCTGATTTTCCCGGCGCCTCCCGGCGCCGGATGGAGCTATGTATCGAGGAATGGGCCCCTCGGTGAGGCCGATACCAGCTGCATGCAGCAAATTTCGTACCCCCCCCTTTCCCCAACCCCCCCTTTCGCCCGACCCGAGCATCGTACCCACTCTTTCCCTACCCACTTCGGGCGTCCAGAGGACCGTGCCGCGGCGAAGCGCGGTGGGCCAGGACCGGGGGCGCGACGCGCCGAGCCAGAGCTCCCGACCGCACCCCCACGGGGGAGGCTGGAGGCGCCTCGGGCAGCACGCCCCTCCGGGAAAGCTACTACCAGGGGCAGTCCACGTGCGCAGAGAGCAGCGCCTCCCGAGGGCACCCCCGCGGGCTCGCCCATCGACGTTCCAAGACACCCTAAGGAGGAGGAGGAGGAGGAGGAGGAGGAGGAGGAGGAGGAGAAAAAGCACAGTGTACCCGCCGGAACGCATGTGGGTTAGCGAGACCGGCCAGGGACTGCACCGGCACACGCGAATGCCAATGTCGAGAGAGCCGGCGCAGGCTTCCGCTGTCGACTTGTCTGCGGGGGCGTGCTAACATGGGGGAACAAGCAGTGACAGAAACATAACTATCCGGACGAAGGACCCAACCACATGCCGTTGAAAATACCGCCGTTGCGAGTATCGCCTTCGGTGGATCTCCTTATGTGGCTACGAAGCGTGTGAAGGGGGAGCCAATGGGGCGGGGCCGCCATGTGGGCGCTGCCACTGGGGCCTTTATTTGAAGCTCCCTGAGGGGCCACGACGCGTGTGAGTGGTGTGCCCAAACTGCGGTGACGCCCACATGCGGGCCGCGCCACTGGGACCTTCGGTGTAGCTCCCCAAGAAGCAACGAAGCGTGTGAGGGGTGTGCCGAGACGGGGTTCGGCGCCCACACGCTGGCTGCGCCACTGGGACCTTAGGTGGAGCTCCCCGAGGGACCACGACACGTGTGAGGGGTGTGCCGAAACATGGGTGGCGCCATCATGCGGCCTGCGCCACTGGGACCTTAGGAAGAGAGCCCCCTACGAGGCCACGAAACGTTCAAGGCGTGCGCCGAAACGAGAGTGACTTCAACATTCGGGCCTGCGCCACTGGGGCCTTCGTGTGCCGAGACAGGGGTGCCGCCCACATGCGGGCTGCGCGAGTGGGACCATGGGTGGAGCTCCCTGTGGGGCCACGAAACGTGTGAGGGGCGTGCCGAAGCTCATGGCGGTGATGGTGCTGACGACGATGATGATGACGACGATGATGGTGCTGCTGACGGGCATGATGATGATGACGAGGAGGAGGATGACGATGATGCTGATGATGGTGATGATGATGGTAATGAAGATGCTGACCGATCCCCCTGGAGCGCGGCAATGGTCGTACTACGCCGCCACATCAAACATGATGGTGACGTTGATAGTAATGAGGATGATGATGGTGATGATGATGGTGATGATGATGATGGTGGTGATGATGATGATTTGTTCCCCCCCCCGACTCCTCCTGCAAGCGATCCCTGAGGGCAAGCTCTGACCGTGGACCACACACTCCTCACAGACGAGCCGTGCCGAACAGAATTGCCGGACAGACCCGCCGGCCGTGCGAACGAGAGCTGCCTGACGAGACCGTCGTGCCGGACAGAACTGTCTGACAAACACCGGCCGTGCCAAACAGAATTATTTACTCCGGATTCCATGATAAAGTAGGGGGGATCACATTTGGGGGGGGTCTGATTTGAGCTGTCTTAGAGGGTTCGGGGGGGTCTGGGCAAAGGGCCGCCCTTTCATGGATGGTCTGGGGGGGTCTAAAACTTCTCGTCTGGGAGGGTTGTGACCCCCTCCCTTTTATTACGAAGTCTGGAGTAAGAGGTTGGTTGACGCACGCGTTGGCAACTTGAAACCCTGGACCATGCCAGAAGTAAAAAAGAAGCACCGGCCACTCGAGGGGGGAAGAGGGGGAGGAGGAAGGCGCAGCAGGAGGGGGGGACGATTTGGTAACACCTATGGTGCTGCGTGCGACCGCGGAGCGATACGAATTCACCCCTAATATCGTATCGGTGAAAAGCCCTCACAATCGGAAATCCCCCCCGAGCGCAGCTCCCAACAGAGCGAATCTAGAAAACTGTAATGATATCTGACGGTGAAAACGCGGAGGTGGCGGCAGCGGCAAGGAAAAGAGAGACGAAGGCAAGTGACGCAAGAATGATGATGATTCTGATGACGATGATGACGATGTTGATGATGATGATAATGATGATGATGATGATGATGATGATGATGATGATGCTGATGATGCTGATGCTGATGCTGATGCTGCTGCTGCTGCTGCTGATGATGATGATGCTGATGCTGATGCTGATGCTGATGCTATGATGATGCTAATGATGGTGAATGTGATGCTGATGCTGATGATGATTATGATGATGATGATAATAATGATGATGATGATGATGATGATGATTTGTTTGTTTACCGATACTAAAGAGCAGTGCTTCATCGGCCCCAACAATCGAGACGGTCTCACATTTTGCCTTCCGTCCAATCGCACCCGAAGTATGATGCAGCCACAGTGGATCGCAACTTTTCCACAACTTACAATTTAAAGCAACAACCTTCAAATCAAATTGATACCGCTAAAAGAAAACGATGTCATCTGCGCTTCACAATGCCATGGAAAAATCGGCCATGACCGCATGATGCCACGTCATAATGCCATGCATGCTGGCCATGATGACGATAATGATAATGATAATGATGATGCTGATGATGATGATGATGATGATGATGATGATGATGATGATGATGATGATGATGGTGGTGGTGGTGGTGGTGGTGGTGGTGATGATGCGGGGAGGAGGGAGGGTGCAGCGGGAGGAGTGACGCGGGGCGCTGTCTCTTCAAAACGAGAAACCACACCACAGGATGGTCGGGAAAAACTCGGAGGTCTGCGAGGATTCATCGGATCGGCGCTGGGGCCCCCTGACGGCGCCTCCGGCGACGCCCCTGGCGCGCTCCGCGAGCCAGGGACGGCGTCCAGGGCCGATCCGAGAAATCTGCACTCATCTGCGAGTCTTTCTGATTGTGTCATTGTTTCTTCCACGGTGCCAATACCCGATCCGAGAAATGTGCGCTCATCTCCGAGTCTTTCTGCTCGTGTCACTGTCTGTTCCACGGTGACACAATGCCCGATCACCCCCCCCCCTGAGGAGAAGGAGGAAGAGGAGGAGGAGGAGGAGAAGGAAGATGATGAGGAGGAGGAGGAGGAGGAGGAGGAGGAGGAGGAGCGGCAAACCCTGGACTCCTGGGCCGCCGCGCGCTTGCGCTGGATGTCCGCGAGCTGCTCCGCGGAGAGCCCCACCGCCCCGGCCCGCGGCGCCGCGGGCGCCGCCGCAGCCGCTCCGCCCTGGCGGGGTATCACGCGGGCGCTCCAACGCCTGGCGGCCCGCTCGTGCGCTACAAGCATTGCGCTAATTACCATAACAGAGGCCTCCCGCTGCAGTGGCCGGTTCGACTTGCAGCACTTGCAGCGGTTGCAGGGTGGCTGCAGCCCACCACTTGCAGGGCGCCTGCAAGTGGGTTGCAAGTCCGCCAAACTGCTCTGAAGTCTGAGGAAGTCGCGGATCCAACTTGGAACAGCTAGGCGGACGTGAAACCCACTTGCAAGTACTTTGCAAGCGAGTTGCAATCACCTTGCAACTGTTGAGAGTCACAGCGATCAGTGCAGCAGATGGGGTCCGAGCAGACGGTGTCGGAGGAACGTGCCGCATCCCCGATGCATCGCCGATGCACCGGCGACGTCGGCGGCACACCGGCGACGTCGGCGTGGAGACAATCGGGCACCACATCGAGCCGCATCGCCGATGCATAGGCGATGCGGCGCGATCCTCCGACCCAATCTGTCCGGACTCCATCTGAAGACATAAGGCACTTCCCTCAGATCCGGTTGCACCCCTTTCACCGCGGGCATCGTCGCCCGGTGCCGGTCCAAGGGGCACTCACAGCCTCACAGCTCGATGCCGCTTGAAAACTGATGCAGAAATCGGGGACGCACCGATCCGGACCAACGCAAACCCGGGTCACTCAGGCCTTGCCGGATCTAACAGGATCCTGCATGATCCTGCAAGATCCTGCGCGCTAGCCTAGGTCGGTGCAAACCTGGCTCTGCAGGATCCTGCAAGATCCGGCGCCCTGGCTGACCCCCGTTTGCACTGACCCCCGTCTCAAGGCTCCCGAAGGAAGGCGGGGTCTGGGGCCCTGGCTTTCTGCCATGTTGCATTTTTGTTCGCGAGGTCGGGACTCAGGGCTGACGGCGCGGGGCGGCGCGAGGGGGATCCCAAGAGGACAGGAAGGGACTCCATCATGAGAAGCGCCCAGAGGCTTTCAGGAAAGAGCGCACCTGAGAAGGCCCCAGCCTTTTGAGGTAGCCCCCCTGCCTGCGGGCACTGCGCATTCGACCACAGACTCCTTGGCACCCATCTGCCTCGGGCGGTCTCTCGGCGGTCTTCGGCGGTCTTCCGCAGTCTTCGGCGCGAAAGATGGATGCATGCGCTTGAGGATCAAAGACTTACGTAAGAAGCCGCCCCCCCTGCTGAGCGCCGCCGGCCAACGCCGAATGAGGAACGAATGGGCGTTCCTGTCTGCGGCACGGCGGCGCGCCGAGGGGGGGAGTGACAGGGCGCAGGTCGCGGACAAATCACAGCGGGAGGCTTTTGTTCGTTTCCTGCCGCGGGGGGCCCTCGCTGGGCCCTGGGACAATCTGTCCCCTAGAAGGGGGTCCAGACCTCTGGGGGTCCACGTCACGAAAAAAAACACAGAGGGCTTCTCAGAACCACAGAGGGCTTCTCAGAAGCCCTGTTGCCTCTAAGAAGCCCTTTGTAGCTTCGGAGACGGCTCAGTCAGAAGACTAGCGCCTATCTTTCAAGCCTTCCGGGAACCTCTGCGCCCTCCTCCCAAGCGCGCCCCCTTGGCGCACCGTCGAGCGGCAGATTCGTGTCGTGACCACTTCACCACCTCGGCGTCGGTTTCTGACATCGCGTGGATCGTTCGACCTCGAACAATCGTTCAACCTTACACGATCAGCCAGGCCGATCCATGTTGGCCGATTCGGGGACACCGTGGGCGTTCAAGATGGAACGCCTGCGGCGGGTTCGCCGCCGCGCAGGCACGACGGGAACCTGCCGCATAGGATCTGCGCAGCCCCTGAAAATTAGACTGCGGCCGCAAGTTCCACACCCGGCGTTGTTTTGCCCAGACTCGGGCCTCGCACGACGATCGTTTCTGGATGGACTGGTGGGGATGTACAGAGTGACAACTCACGGTCACGGATTCCAGGGTCTCTTGCGTGCCGATGAAGGATCGTCGGGAGCCGCTTCCTGGACGTACGGCGACGGCATCTGGCGAAGAAGCCGATGTGTTTCGGGACTGGTGGTGCCTCAAGCCTTGGGAGCAAACGCGCGTGGTCAGGCCGTGGTTTGGAAAAGTGGCAAACAATCCTGGCAGAGACATCAACAGGCGGGGGGACCGGCGTTAAGGCGTTGTGAGGCCGCACGTTGAGCTTAACGAAATGATTTCGTGAACTGCTTACATAGGGGCATCTGGTGGAATGATTCCTGGCAGAAGAAAACACAGACCTCCTCCGGCCTGATTTTTCCAATGCGCGGCCCGAGAGGTCCCGAACCCTACCCGGGGGCCAACTTTGAGCCCGGGGTCCAATTCTTGCAATCCCGCGGGAACGAGAATGGACCCCGGAGCCAAAATCGAGGATCAAACGCCTGCTGACAAAAACGAATCGTCGGAGACCTTAGGATACAAACTGAGAGCGGCCCGTGTTTCACTAGAGGCCTCTCGAATGGGGTGCGCGTAATTAGATGGGGTCGCCGCATCGCCGATGCATCGCCGATGCATCGGCCATGCATCGGCGATGCGTCAGCGATGCGTCAGCTGTGCATCGGCGCCGTAGGCGTGGATAATATTGGGCTTCACATCGAACCGCATCGCCAATGCATCGGCGATGCGGCGCGACCCTCCGAACCCCTCTACTCTAACCCCGTCTGGGAGGCCAAGACCCTAGATGATGTTAAAACGCTGCGGGCGTTTGTCTTCCGCTTTTAAGGTCGACGTTGTTGTTTCCTTTTTGGGGTCTGTCTGCGTTTCCATTGTATGATTCTCGCTCGCGCCGTTTTCGGTTCGGTTCAGTGCTGCACTGCCCTTTTTGCACACGTTGGGTTGCCGTTGTTCCCCGTTCCTGTTGGTCGAAAGCCGAAACATTGACGACATAAAAACGAGGTCCAGAAGCACGTTTCCTGCCCCGTGCATGGGGGAACCACAAGGTAACGACACCGCCACTTCACGGACCTGCCCTGGGGTGCGTTCGGACGCAGATTTTGAATCGAATCCAGCGGTGGCGACGAGGGCCTCCCAGGAAGCTCGAAAAAGCACAAACGAGGGCAGCGGAAACTCTGCCTGCTCCTCGTCTGACCTCAGTCGGGGGTGAGGGCACCTTCGGGATCTGCATGGGACCCGACCACGCTGGACCTCCAGAAGGTTTTGCAGGTGTGTGGGCCTCTGCCTCCTCGTCCCCCTCCTCCTCCTCCTCCTCCTCCTCCTCCTCCTCCTCCTCCTCCTCCTCCTCCTCCTCCTCCTCCTCCTCGTCCTCCTCCTCCTCCTCCTCCTCATCCTCCTCCTCCTCCTCCTCCTTCTGCGAGAGGGCATGTTTTGTATAGTTCTGGGGACGTTGTGGGATGTAGTAAGTGTGGGGCATTCTCGGCCAGGTCGGCACGCACACAGCTCTTCTGGACTTGTGATCCCGAGGCTGCCATTGAGGGGAATTCCCAGCGTAAGTGGAGGAGGGGACATTTTATGTCCCCTCCTCTCCCCCTCCCTAAGGGAGGCCGTTCCCCCCCTCTCCCCCTCCCTCGCAGGCTGTTGGTCATGGACGATGCTGTCCAATGGCTAGGCCTGTTACCCATATAATCCACATGTCTCGAATTGTCCTTCGAAACTCGTTTCGTATCCTGTGAGTTCACCTCCTGTCACTGCCGTGATGTTTCGGCTGGGCTTACAGTAGTGCCCTGGGTCCCGCTTGTTTTCTGTGCTCGATTGCGCTCGCTCGTCTTTTCGCACCGATCCTGCCCTTCCCAAATCGTACTCGGCGCGTCGTCCTATTGGTTCGCGACTCCTCCTCCTCCTCCTCCTCCTCCTCCTCCTCCTCCTCCTCCTTCTCCTCCTGATCCTCCTCCTCCTCCTACTCCTTCTCCTCTTCCTCCTCCCCCTCCTCCTCCTCCTCCTCCTCGTCCTCCTCCTCCTCCTCCCCCTCCTCCTCCTCCTCCTGCTCCTCCTCCTCCGCCTCCTCCTCCTCCGCCTGCTCCTCCTCCCCTCCTCCTCTCCTCCTCCTCCTCCTCCTCCCCTCATCCGCCTCCTCGTCCCCCTCCTCCTCCTCCTCCTGCTCCTCCTCCGCCTTCTCCTCCTCCCCATCTGCCTGCTCCTCTTCCACCTCTTCCTCTCCCTTCCTCCTCCTCCTCCTCCTCCTGCTGCTCCTCCTCCTCCTCCTCCTCCTCCTCGTCCTCCCCTCCCCCTCCTCCGCCTCCTCCTCCTCGTCCTCCTCCTCCTCCTCCTCCTCCTCCTCCTCCTCCTCCTCCTCCTCCCGTTGGGCCGAAGGCCTCCGTGGCCGGCGAAGAGGCGCCCGCCTCGCTGCCCACCGGCTCGGCGGCCGCGCGGCTAGCACGCGGGCCAGCCTCCGCCCGCTGCGCGGCCGCGGGCTCGTCGCAGGAGCCGCCCTCGGCGCCGGGCGAGGGGGCGCCCGCCGCGCTGCCAGCACCTTCTGTGGCAGCTCACGGGAGCCTCCCGTGTCGTCTTGCTGTCTCTTGCGAATCGACGCCGGACCAGCGCCCATCGACGCTCATCGTCGCGAGCTGGCGCAAAGTCGACGCTAATCGACGCCATATCGGCGCCTTCTCATGGACTCATCGATGACCAGGAGGACATGCAAGGAGGACATGGGAGGACATGCAAGGACATTCAATCGCTTCGCTCGTTCCGCCAGCCCAAATTGCATGATCGCCGAGGGTTCGCCGCGGGCTCGGGGCTAAAGCGGCGCCGCCGAGGAGGAAAAGGAGGATGAGATGGATGGGGAAGGGGAGAAGGAGGAGGTCGGAGAGGACCAGTGTAAACCCAAGACTCAGTAACGATATTACGTAGGATCAAGCCTCAAGTTCCCCCCTTCACAGGCCCCTACAAGGAACCATTTTACTGAGGGGGGTGGCCCGTTGGAAAACATCCCCTTGAAAATCAGGAACTAAGCCAGAGCACCATTCCTGGGACGTCAGCGCCGGAATTCACCGTTACGGGTGCGTCTTGACAATCCTGCATCGTGCAAGAACGCCGCTCCAAGGACTTCAATGCAGCAAATCAATGTGACTGTTGCGCCCTGACGCCGTACCAAAACACCACTCATGGTACGCTAACAATGAGAATACATGAAACTGCTGCGAACCCATAAAACAAACTTGTGCGGCGCTCAGAAAAATTTGAACAGAAACCACCCTCCATCCGTCAAACCCTGGCAAATTTTGAAAAATGTGCGCGGCACTGAGGCAAGAGCCACATTTCGAAGACCACCCGTCCTCCATCCGTGAAACTCCCGCGAAATGTTCAAACGAATGCACAAGGCGCTAAGGCTAAGGCGAAAACCACATGTTGAACACCACCCGCCCTCCACCTGTGAAACCCTTGCAAACTGATTTGCCGCGCTAAACCGAAAAACACGCTTTGAAAATGGCCCGCCCTCTGTCCGTGAAACAGCTGCTAATTTAAGCTTCAAGATCAGAAATGGTCAGTAAACTTCAGGCGAAACGCCCTGCCCGCCTTTTCGACCGGCATCGGGGCGCGACAGGGAGGAGTTATGTATCAGGAAAAGGGATTGAAAAGACGAGGATGAGGATGAAGAGAAGTAGGAGGAAGAGAAGACTGAGGAGGAAGTCTCTCGATGTCATTTTGCGGCACTCTTGGGGTCAAAGAGGGTCGTCGTCAGAATGCCTCTTTGGGAGGCCTCTTAGGGTTTCTTGAGAGGCCTCTCGGGGGCGCCTGGGATGTATGTTTGAAGCCTCCAGGAGCCTCTTGGGGGCCTCTCGGAACCGCTTGGGCTTCTTGGAACCGCTTGGGAGCCTCCTGGGGCCTCTCGGGGCCTCCTGGGAACCTCTTGGGCCTCTCGGGGGCTGCTCTGGGGCCTCTTCGGGATCTCTTGGGGGCATCCGTGGGGTTTCGAGGGGCCTCTTGGGGGCTCCTGCGGAATGGAAGCATGTGTGCTGCTTGAGGCTATCCTGAGAGGCCACTTGAGGACCTCTTGGACCGTCTTGAGGCCATCTTGGGCCCTCGTGGAGCGTCCTTGGACCGTCTTCGGGTCCTCCTGCACCTCTCTTAGGCCGTCTTGGGGGAGACGTCATGAGGCCTCCTGGGGCGATCTGGGAGGCCCCGAGGGCGGCGCCGAGGAGCAAAACCATCTATGAGTTGAGTTTCCTGGGGACTTTCCAGGGACTTGCCGGGGATCTCCCGGGGTAATTCTCCGTCCTTGGGCCCCTAGGGGCGGCCCCGCGCGCGAACTACAACTATTCTAAGCCCGTTGCTGGAGATCATGACACGTCTCTGACCAGGTAAGCCGGCGAATTGCAAGGCCATAATTTAATCGGGCGTGTTCTCCTACAGGCGGATTTGGAAAGGAAAAGTAACACTAGTCAGCAGAATAGTCAAACATATTATCAAAACCGTCCCCAGACTATGTTTTGACTATATGGGAATATGATGTTTCCTGCAGAGGGACATGCCCGACAGAAGGCTATGAAGACGGCATCGCGAGGACACGCAAGGCTCCCAGGCTGCTCGCCGGCCCAACGGGCCAGAGGCGTGCTGAGATCTCCGGCAACTGGTTAACAATATTTCTAGTTCGCGCGCGCAGCGGCACCTGGGGGCCCCCGGACGAAAAGTACCCCTTCCAGGTCCCGGTCAGGTCCCGGTCAGGTCCCCCCAGAGCACTCCAGGGCAGGGCCATTTCTCGACACCCCTCACGAGGATCGTGGCCTCGGAGGGAGGGGCCGCTATCAACTGCCTCCGTCTCCCGCCCCAAGAGCTCCCCAAGAGCCCCCAAACAGGCCCCAGAGGCACCCTAGACGCCGCCAAAGGCCTCCAAGAGGCCCTCAAGAGGCCACCAAAGGCAAAAGGAGGCTTCGAAGAAGCTCCACAGACGCCACAAGACGCTCCAGGGAACTAGAACACTTGTTCAAAGAGGCCTCCAGAGGGCCCAAAAGGCTCCCAGAGGTTCCGAAGCAAGTACCTCCTAGACGCATCTTGAAGCTTCAAGCCTGCATCCCAGAGGTTCTACAAAGGCCAACCTGGCGGGATACGCCGAAGACAACTGCATATTTCAGCTACGTCCCGGCCCACTAGCTCCTGCAGGGGCCAACTTGGCGGGATACGCCGAGGACAACTGCATATTTCAGCTACGTCCCGGCCCACTCCCGTCCGACGTTCGGTCGAACCTTCAAATTTGCATCCCAGAGGTCCTACAGAGGCCAACCTGGCGGAATGCGCCGAAGGCAACTGAATATTTCAGCTACTTCCTGGCCCACTTCCGTTTGACTCTCGGTCGACCCGGGGCGCGCCATCAAGGTTCCGAGATGCGAAGCATAAGCCGGTTCATCGAGGACGACGATACAAGAGAGGGAGACGGACGAGGCGGCTGAGGACAAGGAATGAGAAGACCGTGGGGCAAGGGGCCAGAGAGGAAGAAGGAAGGGAAAAAAAAGCCCAGGAGGAGGAGGGAGGAAGGCACAAGCCAATACACGATGCGGATCCCCCTAACCTCCGACGTCATGAATGTTACATGGCGCGGATCATGGATTCCTCGACTACTCCCCGGAGACTGGCATTCCGTCGTTACTGTTTGACGGTCCCGGGGCCTATTGATGATTTCATGAACTGGACAATTGGCAAAAACCGTCCGTCGCCACACCTCCAACACGCTGGAGATCGCCCAGGGTGACGCCGTCTACACGTCGAGAATGCTGACGCCCAGGATGGCCTCTAGACGGCCGCAGCCGCCTCCAAGATGCCACCAAGAAGCGTGTCAAGAAAGCCCCAGGAAGCAACAATCCTTGATTTACTGTAGATTCTCGAGGACCAAATCACCCAACCGCAAACGATGGCATACTACGGGCCGGCGGAATGAGCGAAGCGAGTAATAAAGACGGCATCGCGAGGAGATGCAAGGCTCCCATGAGCTGGCTGCGCGCAAGAGCGACCCTGGGAGAGAGTGCCTTCTGGTGCGCGGCTCCTTGCGGGCTGGGGGGGGACCAAGCACAAGCGCGCAAGACGCCACTATACCGCGTCGCGTCCAGCGGCGGGGGGACCCATCTGGGCCCGCACCAGAGGTCACTCCGGCGAGGAGGAGGAGGAGGAGGAGGAGGAGGCGGAGAAGGAGGAGGAGGAGGAGGAGGACGACGAGTTGCTGCCGAATGGCGCCCGCGGCCGAGGCGGAGCGGACGGGGCTGCCCGCGAGCTGGCCGCCCACCGCCGGCGGCGGCTCCGCGCCGCGCGCCACGGCGCCGCGCCCCTCCTCCCCGGCCGCGGCCTCCGCCCCCGGGCCGTCGCCGTCCTCGGGCGCCGCCTCGGAGGGGTGATCCCCCCGTCCCCTCCAAGCCTCTGACGATGCCCGCCTACCGTCGACCCGTGTCGTGAGGACGCGCGGTAGGGACGCAGGGGGGCCGTCTTGACGCTCTTCGGTTTCGAGCGAGGCTGGACAGCGAAAGTCGCTGAGGATGGGCCGAAGGGGCAGGGATGCAGGGGGCACCCTTGGGAAGGTGGCCCGTCCTTACTGTGCGGGTGGACTGTACTGCCTCGTCTTCTTGGGTATAGCGTATAGCTCGCCTGCGCTCTCGGTGCACGCGTGCATGCCTCTGCCTCTCGTCGAGTGGCGCGAGTGCTCGTCTTCTTCCTCGCTGGTGACTCTTCCTTCGTTCCTTTCTTGCTCGGCGCGCTCGGGTGTGCAGAAGCGTGGCCCTGGAGAGCGTCACTGGTCTCTCCGGTGCGTGGCTCTGGGGGGCCGCGGGGGAAGAGGCCCCCCAGAAAACGAGCACACGCAGGCCAGGGCTGAGGGCCCGCCATGCAAGCGCCCGCAGCAAGCGCGGCCCCGTCCCTGGGGCCAGTTTTTCGAAGGGGCCCGCAAGCACACAAACAACTAGACACAATCCCTGGATCTCCCCCCACTGTCCATATGTTCCCAAATTTTCTATATACTCCGGGGAATCGACGATGAATTGTCTCTGTGTGCTTTTTCTTCTCCTGATTTTTCTCAGATGCTTCACTTCGCGTTCCGCGCCGCGCGCAGCGCCAAAGCGCGAAGAACGGCGCACTCTCGCGCCGCCACCCAAGGGGAGAAGAGGATGAGGAGGACGACGACGAGGAGGAGGGGGAGGAGGGGGAGGAGGAGAAGGACGAGGAGGAGGAGGAGGAGGAGGAGGAGGAGGAGGAGGAGCCGAGCCACGGAGCGCGACTCACCTCGCGCCCTCGAGGGCCGCCCCTGCTCTTCGCCGCGGCTCCGTGCTCGATGGCCCCTGGGGCCCGACGACGGGCCCCACGAGCCAACATCGGAGAGGCAGCACCGCCGCCGGCAAGACTGCCGGGCATGAGCTC